TGCCGCCGTCCGCCGGGCCTTGCATTGCGTTCCGCGCCACCTCAAGGAGGGCCGCGGCGCCCAGGCTGCAGGCGCGGGTCAGTGCCAGCCCTTTTCCGGCCACCAGCCGCGAGTCCGTCACGCTGAAGCTGCCGCCAGACAAGATGCGAAAGACCTTGAAGGCAATCGCGGAGCTCTCATGGAAGTTCGGCAGCGCCGCCTCCAGCCGGCAGCCCCGCACGGCAATCGCACTCGCGTTCAGCAGGAAGTCGTCCGCAACGACGACGGCCTCCGACGCCGCGATGACGGTAGAGCGAAGCAGCAGGACCGAGGAGTCCGTCCCAAACTCCGCCGCGAGGCTGACGCCGAACTGGCCCACCGTGTCCACCACGCTGTCCACCAGCCGCAGCTGCGACCCCGCGCCAAAGGCGCCGTCCAACACGACGCTGCCATCGTCCACCGTGGAGGATGTCACGCTCATGTGCACGGCGTACTCGCTGTTCCCCGTGAGCCGCAGTCCCGAGAGCCTGCACCGCAGCAGCGTGATGTTGAGCGTCTGCGTCGTCGGCCTGAACTCGCCCAGGTCAATGGCGAGCGGGGAGGTGAAGTGCACGTCCACAAAGCAGAGCCCGGAGACGCCGGGGGTGGGGGCCGGCAACGCACTCACCGTGCCGCCATGCACACACGGCACCTCGGCGGAGGCCACAGCAAGCGGCGGGCACGCCACGGTGCGGTTGCCGCCGTCCACGCGCGGCAGCTGCACCGGCAGGCACGCGTCGCCGTGGCCGCCCTCGGCGCACGTGCAGGCGCAGCTGGCACCCGAAACCGTCGTCGCATACGCGGGGAAGCACGATGCCGCGAGGGTGCATGGGTCGCTGCAACTCAGGATCGTCGCGTTGTACTCCGACGGGACGATGTAGACCGCCTCCTTCTCGCCGTTCACAGTGTTGCAGGCGGCCACAATCGATCCGTTTGAGAGGTCGCTGGGCACTTCGTCTATCCGCAGCGCCGTCGGCGTGTTTGTGCCGGAGCGGAACTCGTTGCGGGACACAGACAGCG